GTTTATATGTGTGCATTCAGTGACTCACAAAAATAAAAAAAATAATAATAGTTAACGAAAAAAAATATATAAAAATCGTATACCATATTCTTTACTCATTTAAAATGTTCCCTCGATATATGGTGACATTAAATGTTCTGCTGCGCCTTCTAAAACGGTTGCATTTTGCGTATGAGAAAAGAACAAACAAAATGTTAACTTGAAAATTCATGACTGCACTAACTTATTCGAAATTTATTTTATTAAGTTTAATACAATTATACAACTCACTTTCATTACAACATAAAAATTTATTTATGTATCAAAATCTGCTGGGCAACACTCACCCCCTTATGAATTAACAAGGGCAGAAAATGATGTACTTTTGTCGGGCCAGAAAGCTACATGTTCAGAAAAGAATAGCCCTGCCACAGGGCCGAATAAATTTAACACTATTTCGAGAAAAGATAACGCCATTACATAAATGAAATTAATGAAAATCATACAAAATTTGTTTCATGTCAAGGACGAATAACTTTTCCAAAGGTCTAGAAAGGGCTGATGGCAATTTTAAATTGATGTAGCCAATTCTAGCCACCAAAGGGCTCAAATGGCAACACTGATCATTATGTTTTCAAATTATTTGCATAACCGTTTCGGTCTATTATGTTATTTACATTATGTATGGGTAACCCACCATAGAGGGATAAGCAGCACCATATAAAAATTTTCGACCCACTCTCCGTCGAACATATTTCCTTTAGCTAGTCTGCGCCGAGTGCTTGCAGGCCAGTAAGCTTTTTCGGTAGCAAATTTTAGCTAATATCCTTTTTTTTTGTAAATTCTGTTTGATATAAATGCGAACTGCGAACATTTTCAATACATCCCGGTTACAAATGTTGAACTAAGTAACAGTTACGAGGTTTCGCAGAACCATGATACGCGGTTTTGTACTTTAAATGACGATATGCATGCATTCAGATAAATTTTTATGTAAATATATAGATACTTGAACATGTTCTTTGGGGCGGAGTGATTTAATTTCCAAAAAAGTGTACAAGCTATAAATCAAAAATGACGTTTGATCCGCCCAATTTATAAAAGAAAAGTCAGTGTATATAGTTTTTTCTGATCGAAATTAATAATGCTTATTTCGTTTCTACCAAAAAAATGTTGCCTTTTGAATACCCCTTTTTCTTTACGGGTTCGATTTTCAATTTAAAAAACATGCCCTTTTACAAGGTTGAGTGTAACATCAAACACATTGTTTTGGCAGAAACGAATTCACCATAATTTTCCATTTACAAATTTTCCGTTTTCTTCATATTTAAGAAACTACTTCACAAGTTTGTTATGCTTAATACATTTCGAACAAAAAAGTCACAATATACTGCTTTTTCTTTTGAAAATTGGGAGCGTTAAACGTAATTTTTGGTAAATAGTTTATTCGCCATTTTTTCTTAGAATTAATCGTACAATTTGAATTTGCTATATAATTTCTTCGAAAATTTGGTTCCGAAAAAGTACTCCGCCCTAATGTACATACATACATAAATATTTGCAAGTTGATATGAATTCGACTTTCATCGACTTGAGATTTCATTCACTTCAAATTAAAATTAAAATTTGTAAAAATCGCTTAACCGATCTCAAGCTTACATACATATGTATGATATATCTATACTACTAAAGCATCGATACAAACAATAGAAGTAGCTACAAGAATTCTTGGGGTTAGGTGACTAAGGCAAAAGTAAATGTTGGCCATTCCGAGTAGAAGTATACGCCACGCGGCCGCCGCCTCCGTTTTTTTTGTCATTCCTCACGCGCCGCCGCCGAGTTACGGAAATAGCGGCGTTCGGCGCCTAAGGAATTTTTTACAAAATTTTCATTATGTATGTACATTGAAATACATCGTCTGAAGCAACTAAATACTACTGGTATAAAAACACAATTTTACGAAATGAAAATTACATTTTTAAAGGACTTGTTTTGCATAATTTGGGCCACTGGAAAATAATATGATCTCCTTTATTTTTCCAAAAAGGGCATAACTCAGAAAAAATATAGGTAACATATTTTTCGATCGAAAGCGTTTTTTACAGTTAAATTAGGGTCGAATACTGGTGATCTAACGTTTTTTTCTGCAGTAGACAATTCTTTTCAATACTACAACAATACTACCTTTTTATATACAGACTACAACAACAAGTTGTAACATATCAAAAACTTTAACGCGAATATCTCCTCAATTATTGGAGATAAAACAAAGATAAGTTGATTTTCCTGTATATTATTTTTTAATATTTTAAACAGACTCTCAATAAAAAGCAAACATTTTTTTTTTTTGCAAATTTTTACATTCGTAAGTTATTTTATTCTGGGGTCCCACATACGTATACAAGTACTGGGTGGCTAGGTGGTGAAAATTACGTTAGCATTCCTTAGTGGTGATCAAACCCCAGGAAGGTTCGGCATCGCAATGTTTTCTACACAAGGTTAAAGTTCCCCCTTTTTGGTAATAATTAGTATTCTTTTTTATTACATTCGGTTCTCCTTAGAAAAATTTGGCCCTTAATATTTTAGTGGAAATTTTAACCATCTATAAGGCATTTTTTTAAACAGTGGGTCAAAAAGGCCCGTTCTGGTTCAAGATGATGGGTTAAACTTTTGGAAAAAAGTAGACCAACCTTGTTTTCAATATGTAATCCGCAAAAAATCGTAATAACTCCGTAATCTAACAGAACAGTTAAAAAGATTATTGCAAAAATTTATTGATAGCGACATAAATTACCCCAATAACCTAAGTTTTTAAATTTTTTTAATTTCTTTAAATTTAATTAGAACATACGGATCTGAAGAGAACATAGAGAGTCATGTGTGTATGTATGTACATATATACCTCAGACCTTCTTCTGTTCGCCCATCCATTAGCGCCAGACACTCAACATTTTAATTCAAGTAGGGAGTGACGTAATTTAAATTTAAAACTAATTCAATGAATGATTTAAATAGAATTATAATCTTAATTGGCATGGCGAATGCCTAACGCTGACGAGATGACATGATACGATTAGTAGCCTTTTGGCTCTTTTGAACCTACCTTATGCGCAGTAGCGCCGGCGTTTCCAGACGCGCCGGCGTCGCCACCGCCGCCGACTCTTTTTGAAGTTGACCACGCCGCCGCCGCAAAGCCTGTCGGCGTAAGCCTCTAATTCCGAGCCACTAAACTGGTATGAAAATCTGTATCTGTACATTTATCAAAATATTAGTACGTATGTATATAAATATGTATGTACATATGTATATTTAATATCCAACACCGCGGTAGTCATGGTAAATAGAAGTGACAGAAATCCCCAACGTTTGATGCAACGATCAGCTGTCTGTCTACCCAACTGTCTGCTACGAGGCAGTTTATTTGTCTGTATGTCTCGGGCACCGCCTCCCACGTCTTGTCACCACTCTTTTGTGCGCCATTTTAGGTTGCCATTTGCATGCAAATTTAGACAGTTGGCACAGTTTTTTTTTACCACCACTGCACCTGTCTCTACTGACATTGGATATGCTTTGAAATTGACGAGCTTTCGGAGGGAAAAAAAACATGAATTTAAAGTATGCTTATGTACTTATGTCTTCGTATGTGTAGCACGTATTACATAGGTATGTATGCATATACACACATACAGAAGCAACAAATTTGTATTTTTTGAAGTCAGTTTGCAGGTTGAATGAAGCTGAAATGGGTAAGGATATGAAAATAATGTTGGAAAATTCTATAGTTATAGTAGCGTTGTATGTGACTTAGCGCTTTCAGATTCACTTTTCATTAAAAGAAGATTCCTATGTAGATACATATGTATGTATCATTATCTAAAAGACTGTCAAAACTCAAAACAAACACCGATATTTATCAGTAGACGCATGAGAAGTATTCAATTTAGTCCCAAACTAAAATAGAGTTGCCTATTTTTTCTCACGGGAAAACTACACAAGATTTAAGTACGAAATTTGTGCACAACATGATGTATAATATAACGTGTAATTCTGCATCATTAGCTCAAAATTTTCGGTTTTGACTTATGTCCGTCTTTTAGTTAACGAGCGATAAGAATTTCACTGACACGAACAACACCGCCAACAGCATGTTAAATCCCTGAAACTAGTGCCGATATATTTACCGCTATGATTGTCACCAGCAACAAAAGCCATACAGAAGTAAAAGGCCTTGTGCTCGTTACGCACAAAGCGTCGACAAAAAAAAAAGTATGCGGGTAAGCTTCATACATACAGCATGTCGAAGAGCGCTGGTTGCCAGTGAGTTGCAATTGCCGCCACCCACTCATCCACATACCAGCCAACCACCGCGATAGCATAGGCGAATGGTTGACGCCGCGCTTGCCGCAACCCACTCCTACTCCCGGTAAGAAACTTAGCCTGGAGCGCAAGCGAATGATTAAGAAGCCACAAACACACTTTTTGTTGCAAGCAAATCACTGCTTCCTAAAGCACCGTAAACTTTTTTATGAACATTTTTCTCTGCGCTACTTTTGCATTTAAAAGCGTTGTCCATTCTGTTGCACTTTCCAGCATAGAGTGCTGCTGATAGCGCCACTGAAGGACGTACAAAGTTCATAAGCCGCGCAAGTAAAACCGCGCTGCAGCTACATATCTGTACAACTGTTGCGGTTAAGGGCAACACGTACCTATCTTTGGCAGACACCGAATGTTCGGAGTACACAAAAGGACTGATTGTTCCAGCGTCTCGTTCACCTGGATGCGATGGCTCGCATACTTGCTGGCCGGAAATGTCGTTTGCATTTGTTCCCGGCTATGGAATTTCTGGAATAAAATAGTGCAGCAACAGCGGCTGTATGGAAGTCGCTTTTAGCGGTTGCATGCTGCTACAAAAGGCGCAACGGTGCTAAAAAGGTAGTAATAGGAGATTCTCGGCAAGCCGGCATCTTGTCTAAAGGCTGGTAGAAGCGAAGCACTGTTGCTGCGCGCTCTCGCTTGCTTACCAAAAGGCCGTGAAACAGAGAAAAGTGCGCACTAGACAATGGCAAACAGTGTCAGTAATAGTATGTGGTAGGCGTTCCGTTGGAATTTTAAGTAGCTTAGCCTTTCAAGCGAATATTTTGCTTGGTTGGTGCTGCCGCTCCAATGTCTGCCATCGCAGTCTAACGAGGCGGTGAAAATGGTGAATGAGCGGCGTGAAGCGCAAATACTCTTCCATTGTCGTTGGCATTTGCGGCTGCTGCTGCGATTTCTCTTCGTTGGGCTGTGAAGTGGCGAAAACTCTCAAGTGTCTTGCGAACGGACATCAAGCACAAAAGAAGTGCGAGAAGTAAATAGTAGGAGTAGTTTTTGCTATTGTGGCATTATACTTTCCAATAACAATGCGGCTTAAATGCAAAGTCGTATATCGCTTTCTTTCATTCGCTCCTTGTAGTTTCATGGACGCTTGGCATAACAATAATATAGTCGCACGCTCTCCGTATAAGTCACACAAATGTCGATTGTTGTTGTTGCTGTTGCCATTTGCCTGCCTGCCATTCTGTAGTATTTACTACAGTGCCCTTAGGCGAGAGCAAAGATATATTTGAGCTCTTCTCGCTGCTGCGGTTTTCGGCGGCCATTTTATCGCGCTCTCATTCGCACAACAAATCCATGACATAGGTGAGTACGTATGCTGTTGTTGTAGCTGTATAGACCTATACAGCAGCACCACTGCTTTTGCTGCCACCACTGATTACACTACCACTGCTACGTTGTGTCTCTGTTTGAACTTCGTGCGCTCACTCACTCGTTGCGCCTGTGTTCCGTGCGCTACGTTCGCTTGTTTGATTGCTGGCCGGAGCACCAGCCACTGCTTGCTTCGCTGGTGGATTGCTGACTGCCGTCGCCTTCATCGTTGCCATAGTCAGTGGCTGAGCCGGCGCTGCTTGGCTTCGCAGTTGTCGGCGTTGTGCCGCTCGTTCTTCGTGTTACCACTACTATATATTTCCTGTGCGCTGCGTGCCATGTGTGTGAGTGTTGTGTAAGATGAGCGCATATGTGTGGTAGCTTTGTGCTGCCGCACGCTGCTCTCCGATGCGTTCGGCCGCCGATGCATGACGTTAGTTGACTTCGATAGCTCTATGAGTTTACACGTAAAAATTTCTGAGTCTCTGCGTGTCTGGTGCGTACAAACTGTAATAAGCAAATCAAAAAGTGATTGTTGTGCGGACCACAGTCAACTAATTGGCTAATCAAGCAAGTTAGTTGATCTTAGAAGTGTGCAAACGTATGCTGATCTTATCTTATATGATAAGGCGAAAAGCGTTAAAATTTACTAATTTTGCTGTCGCCGCGGTCGCGATAAACAACGGTGTTTTTGATAAAGTGCCCACCGCGCAAACTGAGTGACAAAAACCTGCAAGTGCGCTCAGTGCTCTCGACCAAAAAAATTTGCTGCCTTTTGGTTTGGCTCTTAAGAAAAAAAATATATCTAAAAAATTAAAAGCAAGTTGAGCTGATAAAAAAATTTTAATTAAATATTAAATATGTGTGCATTGAATGACTGGAGAGCAGCGTACATAAATCGAGTTCTTTCAATTTTTTTTAAATAGAATTACCAAAAACTAAATTTAAAATAAAATTGTGTACGAGAGTGAGAACGCCGTAAAAAGCTAAAAACAGTGTTGCCAGTGCTCACATTAAAATTAACAGCCAGCACCCGCTTACTAGTCAGCCACGATTTTCCAAGCCAATTTTCTACATCAATTCAACGGATCTTTCAAAGTGCATTAGCCGTCGGCATAACAAATTTCCAGCAACACACAACTTGTTGCATAACAGCTGTAAATCTTTGCTTGACAGCAGTTCACGTTTCGGTGCCTAAACAGATTTTCACTTCCCCCACTGCGTCGAGCAGCCGTCGCGAGCTGCTCCCTACAAATCGTCGTCATCGAATTCTCGCCTGTGTACGTTGAACGAAAAGACTTCAAGACGGTTGCCTCACGGTTCGAGTGGAATGAGCATAGGGACACTGGTCTTCCTTTCGATAGATCGGTTTTCAAGGTCGTTAAACTGAGCCCCAACTTGGAGCCCTACCCCGCCAGCGTGGAGGGCTTGAATAGCCCCAGAGCGGTGGGGATGGCCGCCACCTCGTATATGACACCGTCCAGCGGTGACCTAGACATGGCGCTGGGCGGCGGTGGCTATCACACCTCATCGCCTCGGTCTGCCGCCGATGCAGGCGAAATGAAGTACATGCAGCATCATCATCATCATGCCGCCGCCGCTGCTGCCCACCATCAGCTTCCATCATCTCCCAGCCCGAATGCAGTCGTAGGCGGCGCGTCCGGAACGGGTGGCGGTGCCGGCGGGTTGGGTATTTCTACGACAGGGCTCAGTTCGATTACACCTACAGGCGGCTTAGGCTCGAACCCCTGGACCGCGTTACATCCTTCCGATCCCTGGGCGTCCATGACACACCATACACATCATCATCCCGCGGATGCGGTGAAGCAGGAAATGTCACATTTGTCACAGCAGTCGCGGGTTCAGCAAGGCATGGCATCCCCTCATACATGGCACGCACCGGTTCATGCTCCCGCCCATTACGCACCGACGGGCGGTTCACCGTTGCAATACCACCATGCAATGAACGGTATGTTGCACCATCCAGCGCATGCAGCGCATCACCAAGGCGTGGCACCGCTCCACCATGCCTTACGCGGCGAGTCGCCACAGTTGCATATACATCACCACCTGCAAGGCGATCGCGACGTGTCGGGCGGGGAAGAAGACACGCCTACTTCAGATGATTTAGAGGCGTTTGCTAAGCAGTTCAAACAGCGCCGCATTAAGCTCGGCTTTACACAAGCGGACGTCGGCCTAGCGCTTGGCACCCTGTATGGCAACGTCTTCTCTCAGACGACAATTTGCCGCTTCGAGGCTCTACAGTTAAGTTTCAAGAACATGTGCAAATTGAAGCCACTTCTACAAAAATGGCTCGAAGAGGCTGATTCTACAACCGGCTCGCCGACCAGCATCGACAAGATCGCGGCGCAGGGACGCAAGCGCAAGAAACGTACCAGCATTGAGGTGAGTGTAAAGGGCGCACTTGAGCAGCATTTCCACAAGCAGCCGAAGCCATCAGCCCAAGAGATCACTTCACTGGCGGACTCGCTGCAGCTAGAGAAGGAGGTTGTGCGGGTGTGGTTCTGCAACCGACGGCAGAAGGAGAAGCGGATGACTCCGCCGAACACAATGGGCGGCGATATGATGGACGGCATGCCACCGGGTCACATGCATCCGCACGCCGGCTACCATCCGCATCACGATATGCACGGCAGTCCGATGGGCACGCACAGTCACAGCCATAGCCCGCCCATGCTTAGCCCACAAAACATGCAGTCCGCGGGGGGGCATCAGTTAGCGGCTCACTAGCAATCAGAAATCCAGGAGTCGAACTCAGCTGCAGCTGCGTCCACTCCTGCATCGCTGCATCAGCAGCAACAACAGCAACAACACCAGCAGCAACAGCACCAGCCACATAACCAACATACGCCAAATACGCCGTCGTCGTCTGCGGGCTCCTCGGCGACGATGACGACCAATGTGCTGTCGCCGCAATCGCCCATCGGTGCGGGCCTGGCTGCGAATAACAATAATAACAATAACAACAATACGAATAATAATAACAACAACAATAACAACGATAGTGATCACTTGGCTCAGGTGAAACAACAGCAGCAACAGCAAGCGTCATCGATAGCGGCCGCTGCAGCCGCCGCTATGTACATCGATCCGATGCGCTACCAGCACCACCATCCACATCAACACCCGCACCTCAATCCCGCACACCATCCGCACCTCTTTCACACCAGCGATCAGCAGCACCCAGCGCTGCAACATCCCGCCGCCCATCACCAACATTTGCAACAGCCGCAAACATCACCCGGCGCGGGCAGCAGTAGCGGCGCCTTGCAAGCGCCATCCTCATCGCCCTCCTCGGCGTCCTCCGTGCTGGGGGTGGGCAGTGCGGCGGGCATGCATCACCTCAACCTGAACCCGCATTCGCTACACCAGCATCATCATCACCACCAGCAACAGCATCACCATCAGCAGCAACAACAACAGCTACATGCCCGCCGGCTCTTCGAATGGAGTTTACAATTCGGTGCTGCGGCACCAAGCGTAAGGCACTTCAACTCCTTCGGCGGAAGCGGCGAATAGCACACGTCCGCCGCAGCGGCAGCGTCGGCCGCCTGGTTCGGGTATGAGTCGTCTTAAGCGAA